TTTTTATTATTATATATATATATATATATATATATATATATATATATATATATATATATATTAGATTGAGTAATAATAATATATTTAGAAACTTTCTAGGTGTATTGACAAATTTTAAAAAATATTTAGAGGATTTATTTTTAAATTTAAATTATTTAAGATGACATTAATTAAAGAAAGATGATTATTTTTTTATTATTATAAAACAATTGTTTTTATAAAGAATTAATATATTCTCACTTATTTGTTAATATTCGTATGAGTATATTTTTAATTAATTTTATGATGATTATTATTTTGAATGTATTAGATTTTCATCAATTACTATATAATTTTAAAAATCAGATTTATGGAGTAAGTCGAGATCCTACCTATCATTACATAACAATTATTAACTACTGTTAAGCTCTAACTAATGTAAAATTTTACCATTACTTTTTCTTTCTTTAACTACACTCAAATTTTAAGTTCTCAGGAAATTCCTTACAAAATTCCAAAAACATCATTGGTTAATAGATAACCTTGGACATCTCAATATATAACAGTTCTTAATAAATTTACTCTAAAAAAGTGTTACTTCTATCGGCATTAATTATGTGTAGATTAATGACCATATATAGTAAAGAAGTATGTTATTTTTCTTTTGTTTCGTGTTTGGTAGAGTTTGATGATTGAGAGTGGTGTCCATCGATGATCAAAGATACTTATTGATTACTATATGAAATTATACTTCCCGTGTGAACTAAAAAAGTGGGAAATGATGTGAAGTTGAAGCATCAAGTTCCTTAGGTATCACATATACATTCTCAGTATATAAGATGCATATCAATAATACAATGTCTCCTGCCATGTTAAACAGTATACACGATTCTGATAATCTGAAGTTGAAGCAGGATGAGAACGATCAATTATGTAAATATTGATGAGGTGTTGTCGAATAAAGTGAACCGTCTGACGGAGTTCACATTGAAAGGGAAATGGAAAGAGATTGAGGAGATGTACACACGGCAACTATTGACGATTACGTCGGCACTGCACCGTGGATTTGGACGAAGAAGTTGTGGTTGAGAAGCTTGTGAATGCCATTATGAGACACCAGCCGAGGGAGGCACTGGAAATGAAGAATGATCGAGGGGATACCGCTCTGCATGTTGCTGCTTCCAGGGGTTTCATAAATATATGTCAGATCATCGTAGGAGAGAATCGGGAGAGGATTTACTTAGTGAAACTCAAGAACAAAGATGGAGAGACTCCTCTCTTTCAAGCCGCTCTCAACTGGAAGAAACAGACCTTTGCTTATCTTTCTAACCTTTACGGCCACAGCGCTCCCTTGCAAGATCTTGTGCGAGACAACGGTGACAGTATTCTTCACTGTGCTATCAGGAGAGAGTACTTCGGTATCTTTCTCATACCTATCTTCTTTTCCTGCCATATTTTAGATGATATCAAAATTATTCAAAATTTATACCAGCAAGAATTTATTGTGTTTAAAGTTCAAAATCAAATAAATGTTAGTTGTTAATATTATAATAGTATGAAGAGACGAATTCCCTCTAATTTTCTTACTTTTTTTTCATCCTTATTTTTATCTTTACAATTAAATCAACCTTATAATTCCTTATTTAATATTTTATATTTCTATTTTGAAGTAACAGAATGCTATATATACTGAGTACTACATATATTTATGGATATGATGCAGATTTGGCTGTGATAATAGTGTATTACTATGATTTTCTTAGCACACATTTGAATGAAGAGGGATTCACACCTCTTAAAGTCCTTGCAACCAGGCCCTCGGCTTTCAGAAGTGCTACCAGACTTTCATGGTGGAAGCAAATCCTGTACCACTGTAAGTATTATTATATATATCTATACACTGCATTACATATGAAATGAAGTGATGTTCAGATAATTTTAATTTAAAAAGATATCATTTTGTCAGTTTTAATCAGAATATCCATCTTTTTCTCCAACTCATGTTCATATAAAATTAATAAAATTGATTTTGATAACTTTTCAATTGTAAAATAAGAAACTCAAGCATTTAAAAACTTTCAAGTTTCAGATTTAAATCAGGTGACAGGTGGGGTATTTTTTATTTTGTTAAGAAAAGAGAGTATAATTGATCCATTATATAAAATGTGCACATTTACTAATCCTATATAGTATGTAAAAATTCCATCAAGTTAGCAAATATTTTTTTCTTTTGTCGAAGGTATGATTGTGGAACCAGTGAACCCTGATAGACAAATGAAGAAGATTTTGAAAAAGATAGAGAAGAAATCAAATGACTCAAAATGTAGTTATCCAGAGAACTATACCACATTATGTGAATTCATTGCTGGATTCAAAAGTCTTGGTGCTCGAACTGGTAACGGGTTATATACTAACTAGTTTGTTTTTTTCTTAATTCTGGGGACTAGTTTCTTAATACTCAATCTATTTCTTGCACATTTTCCTTTGGCAAGGCAACTTTTTTACTCCAAGAAATCAGCAAGATTCAGAAAACTCACCAATTAAGGAGCGTAAAATCGTATCTGAAACTGCTGGGGTTGGATTTTGGCCACCAAATTATGAAACCAGTCGACAATTTCTGAGGTCTGCATATGTACATACTCTTGGTTTCACAGGAGTAGGTATGTCGCGCTAATTTCTTGATCTATGGCTTTTAATTAATACCATTTATCTGGTTTGATTTTAAGTACTTGCTTTTTTAAGGATTAAAGGAAATAAGAAATATGAAAAGAAGACACGAATGGAGTGGTCAACTCTTGAAGGCACTGCTGAAACGTCCTTATGGAGCATTCACAGGATATGGGGGTGTTCCAGATATTACTGATGAAGAAATGTATAATGTGTTTAACCAACCTAAACCAGGTATTTATCTATGCAAACACGAACTCTGTATCTTTTGTTCATAATATTATGTGAAATTTGTGTGTTTTCTATCACTCTTCTTTGATTTATGTTAGTTTTAATCTATGATCCATTTATTTAATTTTTTATTAAGATCAACAGAGAGTTAGATCTACTTTTTTTTACTTGCTAGTATGATCCTCTACGTATTAATGCAAGAAATTTTCCTTGACGCCGAATTATTTCAACTTCAAATTTGTTGGATAAACATAAATGGGTCCCACACCCTAAATTAAGGGTCAATGTTTTCCCATGTTTTCTTCCATGTTTTCCTTCATGTTTTGCTCAATGTTTTTCAGCTTTGTTGTTTTGGTATTTTGTGTGAAGCCCTTCTATAAAAGGGTAGAAGCAAAGAAGTGAAGATACACCAACTCAGAGAAGCAAAAACACAAACCATCGTGAGAGAAGTGAAGCCACGGTGAGGAAGAGAAAAATAGAGAGTCTATTTTGTGAGTGTGTGACATAGAGAGAGTTTTGTATACCATCCGAGAGGGTGAGATTAATTGAGAGATCCTCAGAGAGTGAGAGAAAGACGCACTGTAATCCTACTTTCATAGTGGAGATATTTTTCTGGACTAGGTCCCGTGGTTTTTTCCGAGAGGATTTTCCACGTTAAAATTTCTGGTGTTATTTTTCCCTACGCCTACACTTTCATTTACACTTCTATTTCTACGCTTCCGCATAGTGTCCATTTTTGGGGTTCATCGAGGAGGGAACAAGTACCGCTGTTTCCCAACAAAATTATACTAATTACTAATTGACATCAAAATTCTTATCGCAAAGTGTTTTAAACATGCCAGAATACGTTATTATAACTAATTTCATCTACTTATTACTAGAAAATGTTAAATTATTGATGAAAGAAATTTCACTGCTAAAAAATTTTATCCACAAAATTTATTCACAGATTCTAATTTTATTTTATCAATAATTTTTTATTAATAATTTTAATTTATTTATAAATTTTGATATTGACGAATTTTTATATGTAACTTCGTTTTATTTCTTTTTAATGTTTTGGGTAAAAAATTTCATTATCAATCTCGTATTGAATATTTCTAGAACCTTTTAAAAGTTTTGGTTTTACTTCAAGTGCTATATTCACACTCTCCTCCATAAATTGTCTATGATGCTTTGAAAATGAAGCACTCCTCCATCGTGAGTCTAATTTGACCAAATATTTTTATGAACATACAAATGTATTGTATACATTCTAATAAGTTTTTGACAGTATTTTAAGAGTATGAAAGGAATAGTTGATGGGTAGAAAAAATGTAGAGATAATGAAATATAGAGAAAATGTAGAGATAATGAAATATGAAAGTAGTAGTTGGAAAAAGTGTTGTAGTCATCTTAGTTGTGGTAGATGTTTTCTTATACAAATGGTAAAGTACATGGGTATTTATAGACCCGTAGATTATTCTAGAACATGCTAATCATATTTTATGTGGAATATTCTAGATTTTTATCTATGTAGAATGTTCTTGATTTGTTTTTCCTATCTTAGGATTTTCTACCATATTTTAGAACCTTTATTATATTTTAGTACTTCTATCTTAGGATTTTCTATATTATTCTAGAATTTGCATTACACTTTAGTACTCCTCCTTGATGCAAATTCTGTAACTCCAAGCATTGTGCACAGTAGTTGAAATCTTGGTCTTGGTAATGCCTTCGTAAAAATATCTACAATTTAGTCTTCTATGTTGGACAATACTCGAGTCGAATTTGTTTAGTTGTCTTTTCATCTCGAATGAAGTGATATTTAATGGCTATGTGTTTTGTTCTTTGATGATGGATTGGATTTTTTGGCTATTGCAATTGTCAATTTGTTGTCGCAATAGATAATAGTCAATCCATCTTGTGGTTGACCTATTTCTTCAAGTACTCTTCATAGTCATATTGCTTGAGCCGTGGTTTCAGCAGCTAATACATACTCTGCTTTTGTTGTTGATTGTGCTACAGTTGCTTGCTTCTTTGATGCCCAAGATAAAATACCTGATCCTAGTGAGAAAGCCATTAATCCTGCCCAATCACTATCTGTGTAGCCAATAATCCTTGAGTTAGTCATGATTTTGTACCATATACCAAACTCCTTTGTGCCTTGCAGATATCTTAAAATTCTTTTTCCTACTTCATAATGAATCTGACTTAGTTTTTGCATTAATCTTGATAGAAGACTTGTAGCATACATAATGAATGAGAGATACAAGAGACTTCCAATCAAACTCTTGTAGTGTGATGCATCTGCCTCTTGAACTCCATCATCTTTTTGTAGCTTTTCATTTACCATTAACGGAGTAACGATAAGTTTACAATCATTCATCTTGAACTTCTTTAGTAGAGCTTCAATATATTTCTTTTGAGAGATAAATATACCTTTTTTTGTTGTTTCACCTCTATACCGAGGAAATAGTTCATCAAGCCAAGGTCTGTCATTTCAAATGTCTTCATAATGTCTTCTTTAAATTCTTTCATCATCTCCATATTATTTCCTGTATATATAAGATATCATCGACATATAAGGAGACAATGAGATGATACTGACCTTGTGTCTTAATATATAGTGTTGACTCACTTTTGCTCCTCTTGAACCCTTGATTTATGAAGTATTGATCAATCTTGCTATACCATGCTCGAGGAGATTGCTTTAGGCCGTATAATGCTTTTTTAAGTCTTAGTACTTTGCCTTTGTTGCCTTTGTTGATGAAGCCCTATGGTTGTTCAACATAAATCTCTTCTTCGATCATTACATTTAGAAAGGCTGATTTGACATCCAATTGATAAATGTTCCATTTCTTTTGTGCTGCAAGAGCTATTAAAACTCTAATTGTATCTAAGCGAGCAACTGGGGCAAAATGTCTTATTGTAGTCGATTCCTGGTTGTTATGAGTAACCTTTGACAACTAATCTTTCCTTGTGCTTTTGTATAGTTTCATCAGGATTGAGTTTTGTTTTATATACCCATTTCACTCCATTGATGTCTTTTCCATGAGGACAATTTACGAGTTCCCAAGTGTTATTCTTCTCAATCATATCAATATATTCTTCCGTAGCCTTAACCTATACCTCTTGTTTTGATCCTTCTTCATAACAGTTAAGCTCAATCATGACTATATTGCAAGTTTCATATATGTCTACCAAAGATCTTACTCGTCTTGGACTGGATTCAGGTGAAAAATCTTATTGTTGTGGAGCTGGAGAAAGTGTACCTAATTTTTTTTGCCTCTTCTTGAGTTTCTTAAGATTATTGCACTAGAAGTAAAATGTTGCTTTTAAAAACAATTTCTTCTTCCCAATTCCAAGAAGCATTTACATCAACTTCAACATCTCAACGAATGATGAACTTTTCTGTTTGTAGGTTGTAGATTCGATATCGTTTTGACTGTGTTATATCCCAAGAGTATTCCTCGTATATTCTTATCTTTAAGCTTGTGCATCCTTTGATCAAGAACATGTATGTAGCAGATATACCCAAATATTCGTAAGTGTTTAACTGATGGCTTTCTTCCACTCCAAGCTTCAATAGGAGTCTTGTCTTTAACTGCCTTAGTTGGACATTTGTTTAGAATGTAAACTGCAGTGTAGACTACTGCAGCCCAAAAAGTGTTAAGCATACTTTTCTCTTTTAGCATTGATCTTGCCATCTCTATAACTGTGCGATTCTTTCTCTCTGAAACACCATTTTGTCGTGGAGTATATGCGACTATAAGTTTTTGCTCTATGCCTTCATCTTCGTAGAATTTGTCAAACTCGCAAGATGTGTACTCCTTGCCACAATCACTTATAAGTACTTTTATCTGTCTTCCACTTTGCTTCTCAACAAGGGCCTTGAATTTCTTGAATACTCTAAAGACTTCTGACTCTGCCTTTAAGAAATAGACACGTGTTATTCTAGAGAAGTCATCAATGAAGAGGATGAAATACATGTTGTTGTGATGTGAAGGCGTTCTCATCGGTCCGCAAATATCGATATGAATAAACTCCAATAATTCTTTTGCTCTCCATGTTTTATTGTTGAGAATGGTAGTCGGTGTTGTTTGCTGAGGAGACATCCTTCACATGATTCATTATTCTCCTTCAAGCATGAAAGGTCTCTCATTATGTTTGTTGATATAAAAGCTTTAAGACATGTGTGTTGAAGTGGCCAAATCTCCTATGCCAAAGCCATGAGCCAGCAACTTCTACCTTCACGGTAATATCAGTTCCATGTTTGAAGCTTATAGGAAAACTTCTATTTCTCTTCTCTATTTTTACTTGGTCAATTTTTATCATTTTACTGTTATAAATTTTGCATGTATGTTTCTCAAAATGAAGAGAATATCCATCACTACAAGAAAAATCGTTATTATCTACCGTCAAAATCCGTATAAAACTTCAAAAATCCGTATATAAAATAGTATTACATACGGATTATATACGGACAGAAATCCGTATATAAAATGATCGTAGCTA